GTCCCAACTTTATCCATCCATAAGACTTATTGTGCTTAAACACCTTGGTTAGAGCTTTTATTTAGCATTATGGAGCAAACATGCCATGCATGAACGTAAAGATCGAAGCTTTACGTGACATTCGACCCTTGGGAAGCTAGATCTAGAGTTTGGAGTGATAGATCTGCCTTAAAACGTCTGAATGATAATTTGACTTAAGGGACTCGACGAGTCAAAGAGCTGACTCGACGAGTCGGCTAGGGTTTTCCCCGATGAGTCTGGACATGGGTAACTCGGTGAGTTGATGAGACAACTTGACGAGTTAAGTTGGGTTTTTGCGATGTTCTGAGGAACAGTGTGGACTCGGCGAGTCACATAGATGCACTCGGCGAGTCGGGTCAACATGGACAGTTGACTCGAGTGTTGGCTTTTGTTGACTTTAGGGTTTGGTCAAGGCAGGGAGTATGGTGACCATGGAGGGGTAAAATGATCTTTTACCCATTCCATGAGTTTGATAGAGAGATTAACCTAGTTTATTTTGAATCGTGATTTAAGTGTTGATTGGAGATTATTATCTTATGTGTTAGGCGGAGGCTAGTTCGAGAGTCGTGTACGAGGTTATTACTTACTTGATTACGAGGTGAGTCTTCTCACTATACTTACCTTGAGTGGTACTTTCTTGTGACCGGATGGTCTTGTGTGCTTATATTGAGTATTGTGATATCCTACATTATGTCTTTGTGATTTATGATGTGTATTATGCTGAGCTTTACTGAGTTAGGACCGGAGGGTCCACCCGAGTTGTGGGACCAGATGGTTCCACTGAGACACATCGAGTAGAGGGTCTTATTTGAGATATAGCCATGAGAGGCTAATGAGTTATGTGTGGTATTTTGGGGAACTCACTTAGCTTCGTGCTTACCGTGTTATGTGTTATGTGTTTTAGGTACCTCTCAGGATCACGGGAAGGCACCTGCTTGATTGTACACACACCCAAGTTGGATATATGTTTTGGAGGATCCTGGATTTGTGTTATAAACATTTTTGGGACATGTGTTTTGATAACCTGATGTTTGTGGGATTTTGGCAATTTTGGAAATGAGATAATTGTTTTTTTTATGAAAATTTTGTTTGAAAATTTACGGTGTTACACACACAATTAGGGTTTTCACTCTGAGCCTAGTACGCCCAGTGTATCCTCTGGGTACGCCCAGCGTACTAGGTGACCTCCACGTCCATAATACGCACATGAGTACGTTGAGCGTACACACGCGTACGCCCCACATACTCATTTGCCACCTTTTGTCAATCAAGGTCTAGCTTTGACAATTCAATAAAAAGTAAGGGTTATCGATACATACCTTATTTCGGGGTGTTACAACCGGAGGGCATGCCCATTTTGGCATTTAAGCTGTTCTAAAATCCAACAACCCTATGCGACCCTTCAAACCAGATTCCCCGTACCGTGAGTAGTTAAAAGATATTATAATAACACTTTATATTTTATAATACTTAGCACATATATTATTTATAGTTTCATAATAACAATAATAAACTTAAACATAAGCTATACTTAAAGTAGGGTAAGCATAACTCACTTACAAGGGGGTTTAGCTAGGAACCGGGCTTTGTGGGGGGCGGAACTTCCGAGCCTAAAGCTCTTCTTTTCGGAGCCTTCTGGCGCTCCGGGACTCGCCTCTAGCACTTAGGAAGTACTTGGGAAGGGGAGGGATAGTTTTGGAGTATTGAGAGAGAAAGAAGGGTTGAGGTGTGAAGAAATGAGGGTGCCTTCGTATCTATTTATAGGCTGGACTCCTCGGTCTACGTTGGGCGTAGCTTCGGAGTACGCAACGCGTACTCAGTACGCTGCGCGTACGAGGGCCAACTGTCGAGATTTGAATGCGAGACTGTAGGGAGAAAGCAAGGGTCCAGATGGCGCCACGTGGAGAAATTTGGGACCGTGTATGCGAGTGCGTAGGGCATAATGCCAGCTGCGCAGGGCGTACATGTGTCACCTTCGCATCCATCCATAAATTAATAAACTTATAAATTTCGTAACTTTCGCATACGAGCTCCGTTTTCGACGTTCTTTATATCCACGCGTAGGTATCGATGGGATCTACAACTTTTGTTTAGACTCCGTCGGCTAATTTTGACTTTATTTCTAAAGTTATATTTTAACAGACTTAAACAGTTAAAATCCGTTAAAAATTTATAACTTTGTCATCCGACGTCCGTTTTCGTCTGTCTTTATATCATTGAGTTCTTAGTAACGAGATCTTCAATTCTCGTTTAGATTGTGTCAGCTAAAAATCAGTCGATCTAAAATTCGAATTCTGGGCTGTGCATTGCTATGCTAAATTTTAGAAAAATCATAAGTTCCTCATATGAATTCAGATTTGGACTTTCTTTTTATGCATGCTCTCAGTTTAGCGTATACTACGACTTTCGTCTAGATCAATAAGACTAAAAAGTATTTTATCGCAAACTCACTTTTTACGAATCCCGGTGTAGTGTCGGTTTTGCCGCAAAACTTCGACATGTCATAACTTCTTCGTTATAAGTCGGATTTCAACGTTCCTTATATCCCCGAAGTCCTTGTTACGACCACTTCAACTTTCTTCATAGATATTAGGTCTATCTATTATTTTATTTTTGACGCTTATTTTTATTATTATAATATTATTTTATTACGTCGTTATAAATAAGTATAATGCACACAAATCACATAAATCACATAATACTCAAATAATTCTTCTTCATTACTTCAAAATAGGTTACAATTGTTGATCATAACTATTACATCGTTATAATAATGCTTAGTCTAGAAACACGGGCGTTACAATCTAACACCAAATAAAGGTCAAACCTTAGTATACAACCAAAAACCTCCAAGTTTGACCCAATGCCGAACATGTCAAAAGTCAACGGCGAACAGTGAACAAAAGTCAACGATCAACAAAATTATCGGTCACTGTGCCGTGACGAGTCTTTGGTCACGTCGTGGCCAAGTCCAGAAAAAACAAACGTGAATGAAGCATGTCGCAGCACCATGGTGAACCACCCACCACGCCGTGGTGATTGACAAAATCAGCTTAATGGATTAAACTCTTAACCCTTAATCTCCAGCGTAATATCCCATTTTCACAAACAAAATTTTCATTTTTAATTTAGGTAAAACACCATTTTCATAAAACCCAAGTTAAGAAAACTCATTTATTCCAAAATACAATTATATGAAAATAGGAATAATATAAGTTAAATGCGAAACTCCAATGTTGCTGATGAATGTGTATAGTCATGTCTTTGTCTTCCTATGATTATCGAGTGTACTTGAAAAACATTAAATCCACAACTGTAAGCCAAAACTTAGTGAGTTCCCCAAAAATACCACACACCACAATATACAACCAAAGAGCATTGAGAGCTTTCAGGTCAGTAAACAACACCACCACTATGGTACCAGTTACTCCCAACAAAGAAGAAGAGAGAAAGGAAGAGGGTTGCAACATAGAAGAACACATAGAGGAAGAGAGAAGAATAGTGATCGACTCGTTGCGATCCGTGTCACATACCGCGAAATGCCACAGGCGTGGCTCTGGGTATGCTATGCACAACCGGGCCATCCTGCCACCTAGCCACGAGAGGAGCTTGTGGCTTGTATACCGAAGGCTTAACGAGTATTTATTCTCCCCTCCAATCAATATGTTTTCCTACTTTTTCTCTCCAATCAATGCTTTGGAAATTTATGTCACCCTTTTGTCTTGATTTAAGCATCGAGACATTTTACTAATTAACTAGATACTCCATTAATAAGAAAGTTCATATCGCTGCAATATGTGCTCGAAAATTTTATACTAGCTTTACTTACTTGAACGTATTGATTTGAGTTCAATCCGTAGAATGGATCCTATATATATTATCGAAACGTATGAATAAAAATGGATATAAAGTTTTGTCTTTAAAGATATTCATATCGAGATAACGTGTGTAAATGTGTAAAGCCTTGGTGATAAACGTTAGGGTGGTTTTGTGTATATATGTATAGAACAAGGGGTAATTAGCAACACAAATTACCCTCGTTTCGCAGACACAAAAACGAAAAAAAGAGTCGGGATTCGTAAAGCTGAAGTAGAGAGAGAAAGAGGAGAGAGAGTGTGTATGGGGTATCGGAAGAGCGCGATCAAAGAGAGAGAAAGAGGGCTCGTCGGAGTCTGATTCCGAGCAGCACAGATAGATAATCAGGCGGCGAAACATTAATGCGGCGGAGCAATTTCAGAAAAAATCGAAAATTTGAAACCAACAAATCAAAGCTATTGTGATTAGCTTGGGGGTTCAAACGAACAAAGACTTTGCAGATTGTGAAATCAAACACTTGAGTTTTTTGAATCTCAACTTTTGGAGAGCTATAATGAGGTGAGACTGGCCAATTGTTGTTTATTGTTAGAGTTCTTCGGAAGGTTACATCCTCTCATTCTATTGTTTTGATTCCCAATTCCGTGTGAGCATTTTGAAATTGCTGTTGGAAACTCTGCGAAGAGTTCAATATCTCGAGTAATTTTATTGCATTTCGAGTTCTTGTTTGAGAATTTGAAAGATTGATGAAATTGGGAGCTGTGTAACTTAGTGATTTGTGGGTTTGCTTGGAATTAGAGGGACGTATCTTCTATCAAAATTAAGGGTTTTCGTTTGGTTTAGAAGTCAGTATCGTTATGGAGTATGTGTCCTTTGGTTGTAATTTGAATAATTTGGGGAAATTGCCTTTTGGAGGGAGAGTTAGTTGGGAACTGTAGTTCTAATCTGATTCTTTTCTGCTTACGGAAACCAAAATTAGGTTTTTTACATGATGTGTTTTGGTTATTCATTATTGAATCGATCAAGTTTATTCTGGAAGATGGGATTCTATAGATGGAGTAAAACCCTAATTTAGTTGGTAAAATTTGGGGCTTTGAGTTTTGGTTTTGTGAAGTTGACAATCAATAGTTGTGTGTGTGTGTTTTATGGAATTTACGTGTTGAGAAATGCAACCACCACAGCATCATTCATGGATCAATCTTGGGGAAATTAAAGGTCAGTTAATCAAGAAGCTGGGGCTGGAAAGATCAAAACAGTATCTTGATTATTTGAATCTGTTTTTGAGCTTTAAGTTAAGCAAGCCTGAGTTCGACAAGCTTTGTTTAAGAACAGTTGGAAAAGATAACATCCGACTCCACAATCAGTTAATCCGTGCAGTTTTAAAGAATGCTTGTACAGGAAAAGCATCTATCCCTGATGATCCTTCAAGAACAGTTGGAAACAAGAAACCTTTAGATGGAGTTTACCATCAAAATGGAGGAGTTACAATTCCATTAGCTTTAGCCAATGGTGATATTCTGCCTCCATCCCCACGAAAGGCAAGAAGCGGGGCCCGTGAACGGAGAGTTGTGGACCGTAAAAGTGCTCTTGGGCCAAATGGGAAGACAAATTACACATCCATTTCATCATCTTTCCCACAATCGGGTGATTTTAGTGTTGTTTTGGAGAATGGGAATTCAAGTTCATCCCCTGATACTCGAAATGCAGCAGTGCATCATCATCATCAAGAACTCAAGAAACAACCAGAAAATGGTGATTTTGTTGGTGTACATCGTATAGAGCATACTGAATCACTAGTTAGAAAAGATGGGAAAGGTGTATCTGTATCTGTATCTGATAGGGCTTCATTACACGCTCCACTTGGGGTCCCGTTTTGCCCCGTGAGTGTAGGTGGGGCCCGGGCGTTACCAAGTAGTAGTAAAACCGTCAGTGTGTTGCACACTGACGGTTTGTTGGAAACCCCAACATTGAAGGAACGTATGGAGCAAATTGTAACAGCACAGGGCCTTCAACGGGTGTCAATGGATTGTGCAAATGTGATGAACATCGGATTAGATTCTTACTTGAAGGGTTTGATTAGGTCTTGTATTGAACTAAATGGAGCTAAGTCAATGCAAGAGTCAACGAAAAGCGATTTGGTCAAACACCCAGCTCAAATGAGGTCAAAACAGCTAGTAACATTGCTAGACTTTAGGGTTGCTATGGAGCTTAACCCTAAACAGCTTGGGGAAGACTGGCCTGTACTTCTTGAGAAGATATCTACACATGCTTTTGAGGAATAAAATTATTTGGGGTCAAAGTTTTCTGTGTACTATTTTAGCTTGTGGTGTCTAAATTACCTTTTGGCCCGTCTATGGCCTTTGAGTGTGAAGCTATTTAGTGATCAAGATTCCAGGGGTATTTTAGGAAAACACCACATGTGTCAGCAACCAAAACCAACCAGAAGAGAATCAAAAATTGAAAATGGAAAATCGAAAAGCGAAAAGCTGAATGTGAATGTAAGGTTGCTTTGTTGTAAGATTAGCATGTCTCACTGCATATTTTCTGCTTCTTGTGTAATTTAGTTGATGAGATAATTTAGAAAAGTTTTGCAGGAATAATCTGTGTAGCTCGTTACTTGATTGAAAAGTTGAGAATTGCATAATCTGAGGTTTCTTGTGTATGTATTTTCAACACTAGGCATTGATTGAAATATCAAATATTAACAGAACATTTTGTAGCTGTAATTTATTTGTAATGAAGTATTCTCCTCTTTAAAGTAAGTTAATTATTTCACTAATGTTTTGGAATTCTTTTCTGTGTTTATTTCTATAATGTTTCTGTTTCTGTAGATTTAAGAAATGTGTAGTTTCAAGATGATGTAACTTTTATCTTGTTTTTAGTTCCGTCATATTTTGCAATAATATACTACTCATAAAAGTAAAAGAATTCAATGCACATCATCGAAGTAATAAAGTGACATGCTATCAGTTGCTGTGGTAACATTTTTAAGGCACAACACTTAGCACAGAATACACATGAAGATTTGGAGTTGATGGAGACTCGATTTGTTCTTTGTTTTGAGGTATTTTCTGCTTCTAAGTTTTACCTGTTCTACCAGTTGTTGGTTTAACTTATATTTGCTGAAGAGTGTGTCCTTTTGCCTTTTTGCAGAACATGAATTATGCCACCTAGTTGATAAGGTCAACCAGCTGTTGACTTCATATAATCCATTTGTATATTTTCTCCTTGTTCAACCATGGTGACTTAGGGGTGAGCCATGGAGCAACTGGTTAAGGTTAGTTTTTTGTGGGGAAAATGGAAATATCCTAACCTACAAGGAAAAGGACAAAATTTCTTAACCTTTTGAAGATGTGATGCCGATTGTGGGGTGAACATATTGGTCCCATATTCTAGTAGCCATTTTCTTAGTAATCTACAACATGTGGCTTTTATCTTTTGAAGAATAATGTAAAACTTAGTTCATTCTAACTAACAATTTTGGTCATCTAGATTCTTGGCCACTCTTATGATATATTGTTAAACAATTATAACCTTTATCTAACCAAAATGCTACATGATGTTATAGTGGTATCTATGTAGTTTTAAGAGAACAATTATTTTGATCAAATTTTGTAACTTTTTGTCCGGAAATCGCCAAATGGTTCAAAGAAGGAATAAGCATGCCCTAATTGAAATTTGGAAAAAATTACTTTGCTTATAGCTTTGTTTGATAATCATATTGGGTAATACAAAAAAGTTATACCTCCTTTGATGATAAAGAAAAAAGGTTGATTTGAGACTTCTTTTACTAAAAGTAAATTATTATCTCAATGTCTAAAATATTATCTGATTAGGATAAAATAAATAAAATCTTAAGTACTTTAGGTAATGATTAATCGTAAATTTGAAAACTAACCGAAAAGACAATATTCAAGGCTTGTTTGTTTTGTGAATTTTGACGGAATCCAGAGGGGAATTGGAATGGAAAATTCCTTGGGTAAGGCGTTTGGTTGAGAATTTGGTGGATTTCATTAAATTCCTTGTTTTTTGGATTTTATATCTTAATCAAAAAGACAAAAATAACCTTCCTGGTTTAGAATAAACACATGATCGAGCTCTTCATCCTCTGCTTTATTTCATGTTTACATCTCTCATTTTTCTACTTCATGGTGATGGTGTGCATTCACACTAAAATTTCGATTGAACCCTAGTTTTATTAGCCTTTACTTTCACTTGATAGAATCATGGTTCCTGTGTCTCCAATTTAGGGAAGTACTTTTGTAAATTGTAATTGTGTTATTATTATAAAATAAAAAAGAAATTACACAAAAATTTAATAAAAGGTATTTTAGTCATTTAATTTGCATTCTATTTTTTTTGAAAGATTTTTAAAACCAAACAGAGAACAAAAAATAATTTCATTTGTCAACCATATGCATTAAAGATTTTATGTTATTGAGATTCTAATTCTTTCCAATTTAAATTCCTTGGAACCAATCACCTCCTTACTCTATTTTGAAGAATTGCATATACATTCTTTGTGTTATCCAACAAAATTTAATCCTCTATATGCATACTGATCAATTGTAATTAACAAGTTTTTTAATCACGTTTTACTAAAAAAGTATTTAAGATATTTTGATATGCAGGAGAAAAGACTCGAGTAAAACATACTGACCAAAATTTTTTGTTTGGTCTCAATACAGAGACAGGTTAATATTTTTGCATTGTTTTCAATAAAAACTATATATGTATTGGTTGAAAAAAATGCATTATAAGACTTCAATGTATTTTTAATATTTAACAAAAATCCGAACTTTTATGTTTTTAATAAAATTAAGACAAAATTACATAAACGGTCCTTGTGGTTGACAGAATAGACCAACTTTAGTCTTTATGACGAATTCTTTGCATAGATGGTCCTTGTGGTTTTCAAAATGTTGCAAAGACGGTCATTTTGGCTAACGGTGTTAAATTTTCCAGTTAAATCATTTGTGAAATGACATATTTACCCTTCCTGTCATAGAGATCGTTTATGTAATTTGTTCAAGCCACATGGACCATTTATGTAATTTTGTCTATTATTTATTATCTTTATATTTTATTTATTTATTTATATTTTTTATGAATTAATTTTTTTGATGTTTTTTTCGAATATAATGTTTAATTTTTTTATTTTTATTTTTCGCTTATATTTTTTTGATTTTTTTGTTCAGATAAATTTCTTAAATTTTTTGACGCTTTATTCAAATACATGTATTAATGTGTTTTTCTATGTTTTGTTTGAATAAATTTTTTTGATGTTTTGTTCGAATACATTTTTAGTATATTTTTTTTACGTTTTATTTTTTTTAAGGGAAATTGAGTAATCTAACCATTTTTGTATTGTAATTTTTTTTAAAATAACCACTTTTAATTTTTTTTTTGAAAAATAACCACTTAACATTTTTAAAATAACCAATTAATCACATTTAACCACCGAAATCGAAGCAAAACGATTTATTTCCAAATAATCACATATAATCATACAAAAAACACTTCAAATTTATTTTGAACATATAATCATACAAACATTTGACACATATCCATAAATGTTGGAGCTTTTCACCGGTAGAAAATATTTTTTGAAGTTGGAGTAGCCTGGAACGGAGAAGTCCAAAACATAGTACAAAATGGATGTCTTTGACTGGGGGACCATAGTACTGAGCCGGATTTGACACGTTATTTAAGAAAAAAAACATTAAAATACAATAAAAAAAATGGTTAGATTACTCAATTTCCCTATAAAAAAACAAAAAGTAAAAAAAAAAAACATTAAAAATGTATTCGACTAAAACGTCAAAAAATTTATTTGAATAAAACATGAAAAAAAACGTTAATAAATGTTCTCGAATAAAACGTCAAAAAATTAAGGGTTAATGTCATAAAAACCCTCAAGTTTTCAAGGTTTTGTCGGTTTTGCCCAAAGTTGAATTTTATGTCCGTTTTTACCCTAACATTTTCGAAAAAATGTTCGGTTTTACCCTTTTACCGGTGATAACAGGTTTTCCAGGTTACCTTTATATTAAATTCGCAAAAAAACTCTTAAGTTTAACATTTTTTTTTGCGTTTTTACCCTTAAGTTTATAAATTTTTTTACACTTTTACCCTAAGTATTTTTTTTCATAATATACGTATTCATGCAGAAAAATCGTATTTATATACGATTTTTTTTTTTAATTATATATATATATATATATATGTTTGTGTGTGTGTGTGTTTTTGCAAGGTTATAAATATTTTTAGAATTATGAATACGTGTTTTATAGATATAGTTTTTAGAAGTATAAATACATATTTACACTTCTAAAAATATATGTATATACTTATATAAACATGTTTATGGTTGAACAAGTTTTTTTCTTATTGATATGTATATTTTTAAATACATAAAAATACGTATTTGTAGTTCTAAAAACATATTAATTTATTTTTTTACATCTTAAATGGTTTATCTAAGAAAAAAACCTACACACACAGATATATATATATATATATATATATATATATATATATATATATATATATATATATATATATATATATATAAAGAAATAACAATAAAAAATATAAATACAATATTTAATTAAAAAAATTTCGTATATAAATATGATTTTTCTGTATGAATACGTATAATATGAAAAAAAATACATAGGGTAAAAGTGTAAAAAAAAATTATAAACTGAAGGGTAAAAACATAAAAAAACTGTAAACTTAAAGGTTTTTTGCGAAGTTAATATGATGGTAACCTGTTATCACCGGTAAAAGGGTAAAATCGAACATTTTTTGGAAAATGTTAGGGTAAAAACGGACATAAAATTCAACTTTGGACAAAACCGACAAAACCCTTAAAACTTAAGGGTTTTTATGACATTAGCCCAAAAATTAAAGGAAATTATTTGAGCAAAAACATCAACAAATATAAACGAAAAAAATATATAAAAAAAATAAACATTATATTTGAACAAAATGTCAAAAAACTTTAATTCATAAAAATACAAATAAAATAAAATAAGAAGATAATAAATAATAGACAAAGTTACATAATTGATCCTTGTGGCATGAACAAATTACATAAACAGTCCCCATACAGGAAGGACATATTTGTCATTTCACAATGAACTTAACCGGAAAAGTTAACACCGTTAGTTAAAAGGACCATCTTTACAATATTTTGAAACCACAATGACCATCTATGCAAACAATTCGTCATAAGGACTAAAACTGATCTATTTTGTCAACCACAAGGACCATTTATGTAATTTTGTTTAAAATTAATTTGTAAAATTCGTATAATATGTGATCGTCAATGCAAATGAACAAACTTTAAAGCATCACGGTCACTAAAGATAACCCCAAAAATTTATGACACCTAAAGAATAGATTTCTAGTGAATTGCTATTTGAAACAAACTTTTAAAGTCTTAAATAAAAATAATAATAATTAAAAGCTATATATCAAATAAGAAATTGATTATTAATATTTTACATTTTTTTGAAGGGCGATCATAAGAATAAGATTAATGAGATTAGTATTAGAAAAATAAAAGTCTTGAAGAAAAAATCTCAAGTCGAATTACAAGAGAAGTTTGATATAAGAAACATGATAAAATTTTATTTTATTAAACAATTCGTTTTGACTTTTGAGGCAGGTATTTTGGAATATACCTAAAGAATAGATAAAAAAAAATTAACAATTAAAAGCTAATTATCAAATAAGAAATTGATTATTTATATTTTACATGATAAAATTTTGTTTTATTAAACAATTAATTAATTTTGAGGTATGTATCTATTCTAATAATCTATTCTAATAAATGAATAGTTTTAATATCCTTTTGACAAATGTCACTTTAATATAACTCCTTATTAATATTATGTCATGTGTCATGTAGATATATATGACAACTCATTTCAAAATTCAAATTTATATTTTTTAATTATATGTTAAATTTGAAGTTATAATAACTTTAAAAATTTGATATATCTCTTAATTAATAATTTATTTAAAATAAATTATTTAAAATAATTGATCAATAATTATAAATTTTTATTATAAAAATTTGATATATCTCTTAATTAATAATTATTTTAAAATGAATCATTTAAAATAATTAATCAATAATTATAAATTTTTAATTAATTTTATAACCGTGATTCTCACATATTATAAACTAATTTTGGAATATACTGAAAACTAGTTATTTGTTCAATAGCCAGCGATGGGATCTTAAAGTTCAGAGAAATTTACAACTCCTAAAACATAATGTACATACACATACTTGCTTCTTGGCTCTGAAAATAAGAATCCTTGTTGTGTAAGAAGAAATCCCCGTTTTCGCCTTTTCGGTGGATGCCATCAGGGCAAATCGTTAAATATCATCTCCATCTCCGTTTGGAGGTGTATGCAATATATACCATAAATTTTATATTTTATTGCGATCCGTCGTGGTCGGCGGCACCATTTTCTGATTCTGGTATGTCAATTTCTCCCCATTTTTCTTCTTGTTTTTAGCTTAATTCGACCCCTTCTTAAATATATATGCGATGATTTTAACATGGAAACGTTTGTTAGATCGATATTCGTTGTGATTTGATGCAACCCCGATTTAGTTTTCGCTTCTTGTTATTAATTGATGTGATTGTGCATTGTGATTGAATATGCAAATTTTGGCACTCGATTTTATGTTTTTTTGGCTGATCCATCTGATACTCGCGGGCCATATGTGCGTATGATCGAGTATAGGATTAATGAATGTAGACTGATCTAAGATTTGTTCTTAATTTGTAATAATTGTCTTATTTGTGTCTGAGAAACGTAAATCTTTGAGATCTATATGCATTATGATAATCGACAACGGTGTTACTCTCTGAACTTGTATCGCAGTCTATATAATCTGCCTTTGGGGGTGTTTGGATGCGCGTTTTGGGTGATTTTTGCTACTTCAAGTTGTGATAACAGGTTTCTAACGATTGGGTAATGTAAGATGTTATATGACCATTTAGGGGTCAAACACTATTACTAAGAAACCATTCAATAGTAGCAGCAACAAAAATTGATTCTCAAAAAAGTGAAATCGTCTTCTTCCAAATGGAAATCGAAAGGGGTTTCAGTATTCGAAAAGGGGGAAAGAAGAATATGTCAGAATTTTGTGATTTTGGTTATTTTCTCCTACTTCCTTAAATAATCAGAATTTATCCAACACTCAACTCCTTTACAACTTCAAGCAGTCTAATAAATACTATTTTCTTGCCACCTGTTTTATTATGTCTGAGTATTAACATCACTAATCACTTTTAAAGGCACATCCAAACACCCACTTGTTTCATCAAATCTGTTTGGTTTGTCTTGACATAGACCCTTTCGTTATTATTTTGTATTAGTATTATCCATCTATGGTGTAGGTTCAATATCATAGTGGTTGTTTAAAAGGTTCTTTAGGTGGCTTTATTGCTTGCATATTGATATCAATCAGGTTAAAAAGAAAACACTCATCATATACATACAGCATACCCGACTAAGGGTTTGCTTCTTTTTTTTTCCCATCAACTCATTAAGTGCTGAATTGATAAAAAGATGCCTGTCTTGAGTAAGTGTTGAGTTGTTGTATGCATAAAGAGCGTGTATCTTTTTTGAACGGAATGATTTGTTTGAATGTGAGAGTAAATGACCATCTTACCCTTTGTGAATAAAGTGGCTGCAGATTATGTGCCGTTGAATTGTGGGTTCCATAAATAAAATCGATGGCTCTAGACGGTGTAATTACTTCACCTCACAGGAGGACTCAAACTGCATTTTCTTCAAATTCATCCAGAAAAAACTACACAAGTGGAAACGAATTGGGCAGCTTCTCAACAGTGGTCAGGCGACACCGGTTCCTATTAACTGCCCTTGCACTCCTTGCTTTCCTATGCACCATTTATCTATACTTTGCCATTACTTTAGGGGCTGCTGATGTCTGTATGGGTTTGACTGGATCACAAAAGGCATTGTGTCAGGTTCAACTTGCAAAAGACTCCATAGCTAAAGGAAAACTCAAGTTTATGTAGTGAGAGGTTTATGTGTTATTTATTATGTGTCTTTATTAGTATTCAGAAAGAAAAGGGAAAGGAGAAACTATTGGTTTTTTGGTGATTTGCAGCTGAAAACTGTGAAGAAACTAGATTGTGTTCGTAGTACTAAATTAGTGTTGCTTTTTTACTGTATTGAAATTAATAGTTACTGTATAAAATTGGATCGATAATTGTTTATCTGGTGTTTTAATATATATGTAATTTAGGGAAAAGGTTGTTGAAAATACACGTTTCTTCTAAGATGATGTATGTGTGAACTGTGAACACTGAATACTTGTATGTTTTTTCACCTAAAAGGCCTTGTGTATGAAACATGATTTTTTTTTTCAATTCCCTGTAATGCTGTAATGCTTTTATTCAATTCTCTATTCGATTAGTGCCTACCAAGCACAACTAGATACGAACATTAACGATTCTCTGAATTCAATTTGAAATCAGTAATATATATTTTAATTCAATAATTTTATTTTGAATTATTTTAGAGGTATAATGTGTTAAATAAGGTTTGGTTTGGATGTTGTGTAACTTTCCATACAATATATTAATTAATTCACTATGTTTGCAAGAATTCAGGTTTAACAAATACGTTATACTGTATAGAGCTAGGTTCATTTGTTTAAAGTATGTATTGTGTTATTGTATGCATAAATGTGGGCCAATCAAAATTTAAAATAAAAATAAATAATTAAATAAATAAATAAGGATAAATAGGTAATTTTATAATTAGATTCCACAAATAATAGCCTATAATTATGGTAACCATTCACTTAGTTGCCTAGGTTTTTTCCATCCCTTTTTTAAACCAATATGACGATTTAAAGGGGTGTTTTGGCCCTTGTCCCTCCAGCCGCCATTACCCATTTATTCCTCCGATCACGGCGCCGCTACCCCCTTTCGTCAACTCGTAACCGCCTTGTGTCCATACTGACGTCGGATAGATGAACTCACGGGTGCTGCTACCGCTAGTAAGGTCGTGAACAGCCGGAGAACCCCCCCCCCCCCCCCCCCCCCCCACCACCACCACCACCAAGGTCAGACACGCCAAGCTCGGACAGCGCCGGATCCAAAAATTTGAGTTCAAATCTGCGCTTCAATAACAATTAAATCAGGAAAAAAGAGGTCCTTGATGGATTTGGTTCATCGTCGGTGAACATGACGTTGGAGAAGTTGTTCGTTCAAATCTTCGATCGCAAAGACTGTATCATCGAACAATCCCAGCGGCAAACGCAGCGTACTACGAGCAAATTGCTTCTAGGCTTCTTATCGATGAAATTACACCTCCTCCAGGCCTTCTGAAGCCGAGATTTAACTGTAGTTCTTCGAATCCCATGGTAGGCATTAAATTATCGTTTTAAGTAGGCATATTCTGTTAAATTTCAGATTAAACCAGGTGATTGTATTAGTTTTCAAGGTAGAAACTTAGGTTATACATGCATGCTTCCCCTTTTTATCTGCACACTGTGTTTAGCCTTCATCCCGTTGTTTTGTCATTGAAATTCATAGGAGGCCGTAATGAACTAATGATAATGATATGCTTACTTCTATTTATGTAGTTTGAAGTTTTAAAATCACCGATTTTGAATTGTTTGTTAATGGGCATGCGAGATTGGTATTCAATTTGGAAAAAAAGAAGAGATCGTCTCCAAGCTCTTACTTGAACATCCATATCCATGGGATTCTCTTCGCTATTCAACTGATGGCTCTTTTTTGTATGACATACCAGTTGTTTCCAATCCAGGGGTAATGGAAACCCATGCTCCTAACAAGACTAGATGGCCGGAAGTGCTGGTCGTATAAGCTAGAAGAGCGGTTCCAAACATATGTTTTTTTACACGCCTCTGATCGGTTACTTGATTTCTATCAGGTAACTTAATTTTGAATTTATATTTTGCTCAAACCAGATCCTGGAAATAATGAAATCATGTGATTGTGTTACATGAACTTGATTTATGCTGTTGTTGAGCAACAATTGGTGCGTTTTCTATTTCTTATTCTGTTGGCATTTGTTCACGAATTGTATGAAATCACGAATCCAATTCTGTTGGAATGGAATCATGAATTCTAATTCTGTTGGAATGGAATCACGAATCCATTTCTCTTTAATGGGTTTTGTGTGACTTTATTTTGGTTTGCTTCTTTATGCTTGAATTTTATCTTATATTGTTGGGTTATAATGATCAAGTGTTGAATACCATTATTTTTGTAGGTACGAAACGAGAGATATCAAAGCAAAACATGGTACATATGAAACTTACAACATTCTACTGGAATAGAATCTTGAATTCTGATTCTGTGAGAATAAAATCTTGAAGATGAACATTGTATGGGATGAAGATGAACAATGACCACCAATCTTCCAAAAAGAATAGATTATTCTACCAGAATAATATACAATATAATGAAAAAAAATATATGTAATAGTATATTCTGGTAGAATGATTCATATATTGTGTTTTTTGTGTTATTAATCAGTGTAACATTCGCATAGAATAGTATATAATTTTTTTTTCTTTTCTAAGAATGTAATGAAATTTTTTTAACTTGTATCCAAAATTTTGTTATTGTTAAAGAAGTTCATTAAATCAAAATATATATTATGTCAGAATGTGTAATTCTTGTATGGTTCAATCATATTTGTTATTTTTTAATATATTGATAAACATATTCTGTCAAAATTTTTGAATTAGGAGAATTATCATCCATACAATCAGATTTTTAAAATTAATAGAATCTATTTTCCTTAAAATATGTAACCTAATCAATATAACTATAACCACCCCCAAAAAATCAATTTTGACAAAAGCTTCGTCTTTAACTTAAGTGCGTTTAGCCAATTTCAGAAATACGTTATACTGAAGTGTTCAGAACAGATTTACTGCTGTGAGTCTCTGACAATTCGATTGCCGATGAACGAACGGACAAAGGAATTCGGAATTTGATGCGGAGACCTGTAAATTGGTATCATGAGTTGAGACGCTTGTGGAATCGAGCAGTGTAAGAAGTCTTGTTGTGCGTCATGATTGTATGAAAGATATGCACAGATTCTGAAAGCGCATTCGAGGACTATTCAAACTCCTTTTGATTGTTGGCGATCCTCGTTTTTCCCATTTTCCAGTTCAAGGAAGCGACATTGGTTCATTTTTGCCGGTAAAATCTACTCATTACCAAAATCATTTATATTTTCCGTATACACAACACCAATTTCTGTTTGATATTCAATTCCTGTGAAGAATTACAATGCAGCGCCATTTTAAACAGTTCCTATTTGAATTCCCGAACAACAATTATTCTCGATTTGGTTCAGTAACGAAAACCAAAAAATCTAACCGACCTCCGTGCTTCAAAAACTTGTAAACTGAAGAGATTTAGTTCGATTCAGCTGTACGATATCAGATGCGATAGTCAATTCGTGATCTTACCACAGCTGAAACGATTTTTCTTATATTTCAGGGCGTTAAGATTATTTACTCCTTCCGAATAATACAATGCTTGAGATGACATCATGTATTCGTTCACATAGACTAACAACCTTTGTCTTTCAACTGTTTGTGAAAATGCTTGAATGAGAATAGATCCAAAAACTCAATTTCAACCCAGAGATTCCTGACTGAGTCACATATATATATTCTCTACTGGACTATTTATCATTTTATGCTTCTATTTAATAACCATATAAACTTGACCTATAACTGTTCAAGAAAATAATTTTAATTCTGAGCTTTCACTTGCACTCGGGCTTTCATTCTGGGTGTTGGTGCCTAGAAAAGATCTGATTCTTTCATCTAACCTTTACAGAAATGGCTTCCTATCCCCAAATATTCTACTTAGTACTTGTTCATTTTTACTCAGGTTCAAACACTTTCCACTACACTCCAATTGACAGGGAATGATGCAGACTGATTGTTTCTCCAATTTATGTCTTGTTCTCTTGCATAGTGCCAACGAATCATAAGCTCCCGAACCAAGAAATTCCAGGTGGGCCCTCTCATTGTACTTCACTACATATGCAACAGTTCTGAAGATTCCCTTTTCCTGTGGCAAATGTAATTAATTAATCTATCACAGTATCAAGTAAAACAATTCATAAGATCGTTTCCATGGTTAACTTCTGAACTCAAATATAGTATATACATTTAACTTGGTTGTATTTTGTGGTAAACATAGAACATATTAAATATACCCCTCCTTGGAGTCAGAAGATTCGTATTATCTAAACAAAACACTCAAAAACCATAAAATTGCAACAATATATTCTTTGAATGATATAATATTCACAACAATCACGAATCATGAATCATGTCCCTTTTGAGTTTTCAATCCGAACTGCACTTTTCTTTAGCAAATCCAAGCGTAGACACCTTCGTATTGTACACAACCCTTGTATTTTTCTGCTGATAATTCCCAATAATACCAATTTCATCTTCATCCGAAAGCCCCGCAATAGCTAAACACACTTGAGTCGCATCAGCCTTTACAAAATATAAAACCCCAGTTACATCCACCTCAAGCTCAGCTTCCTTCCCAAAATGCAATTTAATTGTGGGTATGTCCACTTCTTCATAGCCAGATAAGTCAAAACAAGTATCCAAGATTGAAAAGGCTGGAGCTTTAGGAAAACCCGAAAATTGTTTTAAGAATTCGGACTTAACAACGTTGTAAACAGAAGGAAATAGCCGTGTGATTACCGTTCCCGAGTCGATTAGAATATCCCGTTTACCGAAACTCGGATCTTGTAACAATACCCCCCCGATGCTAACTCCGGTTAGGTTAAGAAAGTAAAAGGTGGACATCATTGGGTTGGATATGAGGTTAGTATACGAAATAGGACTCGAGTTTTTGTAAACCGAAGTCTCACCTCCTAAAATCAATGAACCGGGACCCGAATCCGTCACCGAAGGTAAACAATACGAGAAAATCCCTCCAAAAACATCGTAAGATTGAGAAATTACAGAAAGAGCACTTCTTCCGAGCCCCATAAGTCCGGAAACTCCCCCGAACAAGCCGTCATTAACCCGTCCACAACCGAACACGAAACCTTTGACTGGTGTCGTACCAAGTACGAGGTTGTCAGTAGCTAAATCGCCACGTGTATACGATCCATCTCCATAGCTAAGATAGTAGTTACACGATGACGAGTTAACCCCACAGACGCCTGAACTACCGGTGGCGTCTTCGAGATTTTCACAAGTTGTTGACTTGCATAAGACCGATTTATATGATAAAGATTCCGAGGGGTTGAAAAGTGGTTCTTGTTGATTGTAACATGAACCGCAAGGTTGACATTGGACCCATGTTAGGTCACTCCCGGTATCCACGATTACGGTTAGGTTTCTGCCACCTAATCCAACGGTCACGATGTAGTTTAGGGTCTCGAGTTTGGCTCCAGAAGTGAGTGGGATTTCAGCTTGTGAAAGTTGTTGATTGAAACTGTTGGAAAGCGCGGTTTTGATTCGTGATTGGAGGGAATTGACTCGGATTTGATCGGAAAGTATGTGTTTTTGGAGGATTTGGTTCCAATCTGATATGGGTTTAGAACAGAAATCCCTATGATGCAGTTCTAATATAGTTGCACTCTTTTCTGTTCCTGAAAAAACAATATTATCACGTCTTAAAGCAACTACAATACAATGCATAGTTCAATGAAATTGTCGAATAAGGTATTAATATTCAATTGATTAGATTCTAACCATAATGAAATGACTCGTTGGTGTTCAAATGAATATGGAGTTCGATAAATATTGAATTGTTCAATGGGAAAATTGAAACTTTTTTAATATAAAATTATTAACAAATACATACTTTTTTAAAAAGTATGTTTTATTGAATTTATTTTATAGAATTCATTCATTGTAGAAAACATGGCATACTAATTCGTACAATAGATTTAATAAAATTACTTTATGAATGCAGTCTGTTACAAAAAAACGTTTTAGTTGCTCTACTTATTTGGCAAAATAGCAGGTCTCTTTGCAAAATATCAATAACTTCGTAAATAAAAAATTAAGAAAATTTTCATATTTTTCCTAATACTTCATATTTATATAAAATATAATAATTTTGCAAAATATAAAAAGTTTTGCCAAATTATATATTTTTTGCAATATATAAAAAGTTTTGCCAAATTATATATTTTTTGCAAAATATCAATAACTTCACAAAACAATAGGTTTTCCGGAAATAATTTCATAAAGTTTATTTTACAAAAGGTACATTTTGCAAAAATATTATATTTTATAAAAGTATCAATAATTTCACAAAGCAATAGGTTATTTTGTTGTATTCTCAAAAGATAATTTTACAAGATTCATTCTACCAGTATATTTAATTATGTTGTGATAACTTCCTAAAAGAGAGATAATTTGGCTCCTATTTTGGTAATTTTTACTGAGGAACCCAAACAGGAATGGATGGATTATAAGGAGTCTATCTAACTTGTATGTCACGCATAGAAAACTGTACTCTGATCTGGAATTTGGAATTTAACCTCTGGAAAAAGTGATATTTTTGCATATTGGGGATGACATATTCAGGAAAAAAATAGTATAAAGCAAAAAAGACAGGTGATTTATATTTTATAGTACTAACGTGATCTTTGATGGAAGCAATTGAGTGTGTCAGTTTGTTGCCGTGTCCACCTGAATTTCTTCAAATCAAAAACTTGCTTATCGCCATAGCCATGAACAACACCGGTGGTGGCAATAGTTGCGTAGGTGGTCGGAGGTGCATATAAAATGAATGAAAAGAGAAAGAAAAGGAGGAGGAGAGACATGGATTCTAGAGAGGGAGAAGGGGGAGGGGTTTGAGAATCTTTGAAGAGTTGGAGGCTGGCGTGAGAACAAAAGGGAAAGGGCTGGCTAATGAGTTAAAGGACCCCACTCTGGTTGCATGAGAAATTATTGAGCATTCACATGCATATCTACATTTACTTATTGGAAAGAAAGAAAGAAAAAGGAAATAAATGTTTAAAATTGGTTGGATTAGTTTTATTTGATAGGTAGGGCTAGATTGGCTTGTGATTCTTCAACCATTTTTTATTGGTTTGTTTTTTTATGGCCGAGCTTCCATTGAAAATGACCCCCCTTCATCACGGAGTCAAATTGCATTGCCCATTGCTTTTCCATTGCACCCTTATATAAATGTTTTAAAAATCGGTTCAAACCAACCAATCGGAAATGGGGATGAAAACGGTTCGACAACAATAGGTTTTATGTAAATTTCTAGACCGGATCGAACCGGATTTGACTAGTTGGATTTCACTTGGCCTATTAGGAAAAAAAAACACTCATTTTCAAAATAAATTAAACTGTTTGATCGATTAGGTCATCCGAAGTGTATACAATAAGACCGATGCACATTAAAATACAATGCTCTATATGATATTTAATATATTAAAGATATGCTTGTTGATCGTGTAAGAATAAATGAGCTAGCATCAATATATGTCACAAAAATGAAATAAATATACACTCTTTTGCAATGGCATATATAATTTGTTGCTTAACATATTAAGTAGTAGTTAGTGAACAAATACTAAATTAGTTAAACAAAATAAAAATAGATAAAAAAAACATTGAGGGCAAGAGCCGGACCCGGAAAAAGAGCGAGACTGATGTACCTCCGCGTTTCCTGCTAGATTAGTCATAGTTTGTAATCATCTCGGTCAATTATCGAAACATTTATATGAATGAATAAGAAAAGATTATTCATGTATTTCTGTGCTTATGTGTTTTATACTAGGGGTGTGCGCGGTGCGGTTTGGTGCGGTTTAGAGCCAAAACTACAAACCGCACCGCGCATGCGGTTTGAGTTATTTAGAAACCGCAAACCGCACCGCGAACGTTTAAAACCGCATTCTGCGGTGCGGTTTGGTGCGGGCGGTTTATGCGGTTTACATGCGGTTTGAGTAATTATTTACTTTAAATTTAATGACAATACTATCATTGTCGTCACTAACGGCTCACTAAGTGGTCATTAAAAAATTTGGTGGTCATAGAATTGTGGTCATTAACTACTTATGAATATACATAAGTTAAGAAAACATAGTGACCATAAAATAATGGTCACTGAATGTTAGTTGAAAATAAAATTAAGATAAAAAATATGGTCACTCCATTAAATTTTGCATTAAATTTTGGATTAATTAAGATTACATTTCAAAAACTTAAGATAATGCCATTAATTTAGGACCTATCAAATTATTTTCGAATATATATATATATATATATATATATATATATATATATATATATATATATATATATATATATATATATATATATATATATAATCATTAATTAATTTTATCAATGCGGTGCGGTTTAAACCGCAATTTTGTAATCGTAAACCGCACCGCATAATGCGGTTTAACAAAAATACAAACCGCAAACCGCACCGCAAGTGTTTTAAACCGCGTTATGCAGTGCGGTTTGGTGCGGTGCGGGCGGTTTATGCGGTTTGTGCGGTTTATTGCACACCCCTATTTTATACGATACTTTATGCAAATTTTATAAGTATTTAATAATATAATAAATAAGATTAAAATACGCGTCGAAGATAAAAGATTATTTATGACAAATAATCTTAACCTAGTTGTATTATATGTAATGAGGATTTCGGGGATATAAAGATCGTTCGAATCCGACTTCGTATGAAGAAGTTATGCTCTTCGAAGTTTCGTGATTAAACCGACACGACTCTGCGTATCATAAAAAGTAAAATTTTGATTAAACACCTTTTAGCCTAAGTGATCTAAACGAAAGCCATAATAGTCGTTAAACCGAGAGCGTGCATATAGAGAACGTCCAAATCTAACTTCGTATAAGGAAGTTATGATTTTTCTAAGTTTCAGCGCGGCAATGTGGAACACTAATATCGAAATTTAGAAAATCTGATTGTTAGGAAACACAATCTAAATGAGAATTGAAGATCTCGTACATACATATATGTCGATATAAAGAGAGTCGAGAACGGATATCGTATGAGAGGGTTATAAAATTTACACGGACTTTAATAGTCTAAGAACCTGTAAAAATATAACATTAAAAATAATATCAAAATTAGTCGACAAAGTCTAAATGAAAGTTGTAGATCTCGTCGATAGCTACACGTGGATATAAAACCTATCGAAAACGGAACTCATATGCGCAAGTTATGGGTTTTAAGAAATCAAGAAAATTTGTGCGCAACGGCGCGCACCGACCAAATGCACGGCGCACACTGACACACCACCCGAATTGCGACACAGTGCGCGACGTGCACTCATTTTTTGCCTATAAATTGACGCGATTTTCAGCTTAATCCTTACCCCTCACTTAAATTCTCTTTGAATCTCTTCGAGCTTTTTAGCCCTTTTACCCTCTAGTTCTTGACTACTTAGCGAACCCCTACGGTGTCAGATATCCGAAGAATAGAAGCTCTCGGGTCAGATTTCTGCCTGTATATTTCCCGGTTTTCGTTAGATTACTCTGTAAGTCAAGCTACGCTTATTTATTTTAAGTATAACGTTTAATTATAGTCATAGTTATTATTATGAACCTATAATTAAGTATTGGTGATTCCAAGTCATTATACTGATTGATATACTTACGGGAGTGATGTCTATGATGGATTTAGTGAGATGTATAAAGTGAGATTTCTAAACAGTATACTCTGTATACCAAACGGACCCTACCTCCAATATGATCCTACCTGGTTATTCCTTACTTGATAGATCTTGATGTAGACATTGAGATTATTGAGGAATCTAGACTATCATTAAATAGTCGTCATGATTATGAAACTAGACTAAGACTTAGTACCTTATATGTTTAAGTCTTTGAGAAGTGTTAAGGCGAAGCGCTGTCCTAACCTCGAGTCACCTATTTTCTTAGGTGAGTGAGTAGTTACTTTCAAGAACATAATTTGGTAAAAGTATCTATTAAATGTTATATATTTTATTTATACTATGTGCTACTTGTATACCTATAATAGTACTGCATACTTGGAACTATACTGGACATAATTTGCCTTTAGTATAAGTATGGATTAGTTATAATAGGACTTGTATAAGGTGTTTAGTTCCCAATAAATTGGATATTGACTAGGTTTCATTCTGGGGTAGAGTGTGAGATCAGAGCGGAGTGTCGTATTCCACCTCTTTCTTAGATGACCATAAATGATGGGTCCGGATCAGACAACTGACAAGTATGTCTGGGTCATTGACCATAGTAGATGACAACACTTGCATATTCTAGGCGGTCCAGTGAATTACCTTGCTAGTGTGGACTTATAACCCTCAGACATAGATAAATCATTTATCAATAACTCTGAACATTGGTTGCCTTTATATGGATCACACTGGCCATGGGCTCCCTTAGCTGTGTAGTCAACCAAAACCTCAAACGGTTTATTAGACATGGTGATTCCTCCAGATAGTCGTTGACTTAGGATTCGTGAGAATCAGTTGGGCTAGGTAGAATGTCTTTAAGGATATTTATGTCAGATTTTATATACCTATATTATTTGTCAATGATTGTTTTTGCAGAAATGATATTATGATTTATTATCATTAAATTATTATGGGCTTGAAAACCCTATGCTTCTCACCAGGTTTCTCAAACCTGACCCACTCATTTTATGTGCATCACATGTAGTGGATGTAAGGCTAATGAAGCTTAGTTAGGTTGCCGAGTGAAATAAGAGATGTGTATGTTATAGTATTTCAGGACCTTTTATATATTTATGTTGTAATGTATGTTTCGATATGAACGATGACATCCTCAGAATTTAATATAACAAAATAACTTTTGTTATCTCAATATGTTTTAATTAACTGGGAATTTCCGTCTCTCAATTAAATAAAACGTAAATAAAAGGTTTTAATCGGTTCTGAAAAATGGGAGATGTCACAACTGAATCAGTCTAAAACGAGAACGATCCCAAAAGAAAACCAAACTGTTCCGAGACCGACCCAAGACCGGTAGCCAAAGTTTATAAACATAACATTTTTGTGTTAGTTACACAATTTTTAATCAAACATTATCTAACTTCTTTCCTTTTTTCTTTTATTAAATTTAAGTGTAGCATTTTTAATAAATCTCAATCTATCATTTTGGTGTCAATCACATATGTTAACGGAAAAAATCAAAATCGAAACTAAAAATCTGGAAAATACCAAAATCAAATTGAAAAACCCTGGAAACGAACCAAAAAATGCGCACAAAAGACCGCGAGACCGGTCCCAAAAAAAACGGTCTGAAAAAAAACCTGACCATTTCGAAACCAACCTCAAAAAAACCGAATTGTTTTGAGACCAACCCGAGACTAATATGGGATTACCAATATAATGCTATGTAGACAGGGCATGGAATATGAATTGGTTTATGGAAAAACCCAAAAGATGCATTTTGGGATGAAGATGAAGTGAAGGTACAAATGTGTAGTGGTTTTTGGGATGAAGATGAAGTAAAGGTACAAATGTGTGGTGGTTTTTGTGATCAGATGAAGTGAAGGTACAAATTTGTAGTGGTTTTCGGTGGACAAACAAAAAAGGTGCACATGTTGGGTTCACGAGTCGGTCCTAAGGAAAAAACAATCATTTCCAATTTTCAATTTTAAAGTACCATACTTCCAAATTCCAATTTTCAATTTTCAAAGATAAAAATCATTTTATATTTATTCATGTATTTCTGATAATTTATTGGGTAATAAAATTCATGTATGTGATTTCGATTTAGAATCTACCATGCCTTATTTTGTATATTGGAGTTAGCATGGGAGTGAAATGATTGGTTTTAGTGGGTGTTTTTGATGTGTTGTAAAACAGATTTTGTTTTTATTTTCTAGTTTTTATTTTTATAGTCAAAATAATAAAATGATTATATATTCCGGTTAAAATTGGAGTAGTAACTTTGAACTGTACATTTAGAGTTTATAAA